CTGGGTCTTAGCCTGACTTGTCCTTTGATCTCATGTCATCACACCGAGACATGGACACACATGGCCCTTTCCATATGTAGTCAGATTATACTCAGGGGCGAGGGTCTCTTTGTTAAAATCCAGCACTATAATAGCTGTTGAAAAAAATTAGGTCCCACTGTGCATGTGAAGATCTGGTGTGGAGCTAGAGAAGGAGGAGGGGAAAAGCCTAATACTGTGCGAAAGGTCTTCGAACTTTACAGATGGGGAAGCTGAGGCTAAGGTCACAGAAACGCTTTTGCTTTTTGCTGCTTAGGGGATCGCTTTCAAGCAACAAAAATGTATTATAATACGAAAGTATTCTTTTGAGCAGTTTTTATTTCCTTTAAAAATGTCCGTGATCTCGAGTAGAGGTTCCTAGGCTGGGGCCTCTACGCTCACAAAGCACTCTGCCCGCCTTAGCGCCGACGACAGCCGTGAGTGATGTGCGTGCGTAAGCGCTTGTTTACCTTTGCTTTCTCTAAACCAACAGTTCCACGAGGGCAAGGAATGTGGCTGTGGTCTCACCGTAATATCCCCAGTGTATCCGGCACATAGTAGGTTCTCATGTGTTTATGAATGATATAAATAAACGACTAAATAAAGTGGCTTGTTATTTACTAAGAGTGAAAGAACGTTTTGTTTTACATTAATAAACTTTATTTTTCAGAGCGGTTTTAGGTTCACAGCAAAATTGAGCAGGACGCCCACGTATCCCTGCCCCCCCAACTTCCCATATGGACTGAAGTGGAGGGTTTTGAAGCTGGAGTATAGTTGGCTAGTGATGCCGTGCCAGCCTGTGTCTGCAGTGTAGTGGTCCAGGCATGCGTACGCATGTGCATAGCGTCTTAAACTACGAGTAAAACGGTTCTGTCTCAGCTTCCTAGTCTAGTTTTTATTAAATGTAATAGAACGACAAAGCTGTTAGAAATAAAGGGGCCCCTCAAATAGTGACGTGGATGAGATAGAAGTTTGTTTGTCTCTCACGGAACAGTCTGGCTGCTCTGGGTGGAGGGGTAGCTCTGCCCCATGAAGCCTGGCGGGGAGGGGGACCTGCCATCCCCAACATATGGCTCCCAAGGCTGCTTCAGTTGTCACCGCTTCCAGCTGGTCGGGAGGGTGATGAGCCAAAATCCAGCACGAGGAGCCCTCCTTAGTTGGAGAGGACACAGAAGCTGCATACATCTCTTTCTCTCACAACCCATTATCCTAAACGTTAGGCTCATGGTCTCTTCTAGCTGCCAGGGAGGCTGGAAAATGTCATTGCTGGCTGGGTGGCCATGTGCCCAGAAATATGGAAAAGATGGATTTTGAAGGACAGCTCATAGTCTGACACAGCCACGATGAGAAATGTTTATTAAAGCAGACAGTCCAGTGAGCTTGAACTATGAGAAACCAAAGCCATGAAACTCGCATCTTAAAACACCTTGATAAGCTCATCTCGCCAACATGAGGCCACGCCAGTAGTAACAGGAGAACCAGCCACGGAAGGAAGGAACGGGGCTACAACGAGAGGAGGCCGGGCAGAAGGACGGCGTAATGCGAGGGACCAAGGAGCTGGTTTGTGGCTTTCATTCATCCTCTGAATTGCATCTTCCCTGTTCCAGTTAAGAAGATGCTACAGTTGCCTCCTCTTGGGTGGACCTCAATGACCTCTGCTTCTTGGTGTTCATGCCCTTGGAAGTCCCTGCCCCTAACATGTGGGCTGGATTTAAACTGACCTGCTTCTAAGCAAAAGAATATGGCAGAAGAGACAGGATGGCACTTCGCAGATTAGGTTACGAAAAGATTGTGGGTTCCACTTGGGGCCCCTCTCTCACTGTCGCTCCTCCGAGGGAAGCTGGCATGACCACTTACATCGTCACCCTAAGCACTGCCATAAGCACTTTCCTCACATTATCTCAGTTATTCTTAAGTATGCTTTTTTTTCTGGCAGGGGATATGTCATCAGGTTTATTTACTTGTTTTTAAATTGTTTTAGTGGAGGTACTGGGAATTCAACCCAGGATCTCGTGCATGCTAAGCATGTGCTCTACCACTGAGCTACACCCTCCCCCCACTCTGAAGCATGTTTGATCTTTTTAAACTATAACACAGTGTTGAGAACTTCATCAAGGTCACTGGATTCATGGCACACAGAACAGAATGTCTAACAGTAAATTCTTAAAAAAAAAACAGAAAAACTGAGAAACAAGAGTTCCTGTTTGCTGAAGAGTTCCTTAATTCTTGGACTCTGGGGAGCAGAAAGGAGTTTGTCCTAAAGGAGGTATGTCTGTTCGGTTCTCTGATACAGGTGGGGCATCCAGGGTACAGACTGTAAGTTACACCAAAACCTCCCTTCATGGAGAGGCAAATTTTTTTTGGTCAAAACTTTCTAACCTTTCTAGGAAATTAGAAAGGGGAATGTAATGCCATGCAAAAGCAATAAATATTCATCAATAGCTTCAAAGTCCCTCCAAGCAAAAAAGGTGTGTCTGGAAGACTTGGAACAGAAGAAGAGGAGGTGAAGAGACCAAATGTGGTCCCTTCAGGTAGAAAAGTCTCAGCGGACGTGACCTGGGTTAAGGTGGAGATCGGCTCCACGTACTAGACTCAGTCAGACTCCAGAGAGAAGGGAGCTTCCTGGCACTACTGCTCTTTGGGGCTCCACAGATCACAAAAACACGTAAAAATATACGTATTAAAGAACACACAGGCACCTCTGTCACCTGGGACTAATGATCAGCCTTGACACCAGGTGACCCACTCTTGTGACTAACACAGTTCGAAACCCAGGAACATGCCACTGTGTATCTCCCGCCCTTTGTGCCTTACACAGCATCTGAAGCCATGAGTGTTGTGGGTGGAGCCACCATCCTTGCAGGAGGGAGACAGTGCCCCGGAGCGTGGGGAGGACAGACTGGAAGAAGCACTGAGGTCAAGAAAAAACAGACTGACTTGTCAGACCATTCCTCTCATGTAGTGGAATGCCGGAGACTTGCATCATGCAGCACCACTTCCCAGCAGCACAAGCGTCCACCTTCTTGCTTCTCTTTGTGTCCAACTTGTTCCATGGCTACTTGGAGTCGGTACAGCGTTTGCTACGGTGGCGCGGGGGAGGAAAGGAGCATTTTGTTACGAGTCTCACCATCCCTAACAATGAATGTTAGTCTATACGTAGCCCTCGGAAGCATGGTACCTGTCTGGCAGTGGTCACTGGGTGGCCTCTAAATGCTGCAACTGCAAATAGGTTTACTTTTCTCAAAATGTTTAAAAAGATGTAATTAAATTTTTCAAAACTCAACATTAAAATTCAGTTTCATTTAAATAATGTAAAAGTTCACTGAAGGTAATGTTTACGACACAATGGTGGCAATGCAGTTGACAAACAGAAAGTTCTACCATACAGAACATTGGCCAAAAACCAGAAATACTTGTGTGTTAGTCACATACAGCACACATTTGAGTTTTTATTAGGAGATATGATGTCAACTGTTTTGACAAAGATTCAAAAATTCAAAGATTACATACTATATTTCCTGAATCTTCCCAAAGATGAAATAGTTTGATGAAACAAAGCAATGACCTTAAATTCATTCTTGGGCATGTGTGATAAGAATGCTGTCTGGATCTGTTAAAGCGATTAGATTAAATTTAGATAAGACACAAGATGCACCACAAGAGATAACTAAAACAAGAGAATCTCAAAATAAAATACGAATCCTGATTTTGGTGGAAAATTAATTTTGAATTCATGCTATCCATAGTTATATAATGTTAACTGTTGCTTATTATTAGTAATACTACCAAAATTTAAATTTCAAAAATATCTAAGTTTGGCTATTTTACTTGCAAAAGGGCTAAAAAATATTTTTTTAAATGTCAAAGCCAGTGGTTTTTCTAAATCAAAATAAACTGCAAGAAATTTGTTGAAGATATTCCAATAAAATATAACAACATTATAGCAAGGAAAGGAAAATGTTTACCTATCAAACAGGTATAAATAATTCCCAATTATTAATTTTTTAAAAATTCAAAAAACTTTTTCAAAACTTAACATTAAAATGGGGGGAGGCCATTAGGTCTGTTTATTTATTTATTATTCGGTTTTTTTTTTAATGGCGGCACGGGGGACTGAACCCAAGACCTCACACGTGTTAAGCACACACTCTACCACTGAGCTGTACCCTCCCTTCATTATTTCTGATTTTAATGAAGACCATGTTTCTGGCCATTATAGATCAGAACATAGTCTTAATTGAAAAGAGATTTGAACGAGTTAAATGCCCTGGTAATTTTTGTTTCTTTGATAATAACTCAACATTGGAAAATTCGAAATAAAAATCTAAGAAACACTGTGTATCTAGATAGTCCCCTAAAGACTATTCTGTTAACATATTCATTTTAAAAGTGAAAGCAACACATTTGATTATTTTAAAGTTTACATTTTCAGCAATAATGCAACTTTGTCACATGGGACTTCACTACAGTTTTTTAACATATGTAAAATTTGTATGTAAAGTTCATTTGCTAATTTAAGGTTTGGTCTAATAATTTATTGGCAATTCCAGTTACTCCTGCCTTAGAGTGAAGTTTCTCCAACTGAAGGAAAAACAAACTACAATGACTTAAGAAATGTTGGCTAACTTGTCATTACTGTCAATAGAATACATATAAAAATCTTACTTATACCAATATAATTAGTGATAAGACAAATTAATTTTTTGTAATAAATATATAATAGTTGGTGAATTACGTATGTAGTTGCTCATCAAAGTATCACCCAGTTGATACCCAGACAAGCACAGTAATAATCCATCATTTCTGATACTTTGCTGTCAGGTTTTACACACATTTTCTCATTTCTCATTATAAGTATTATTTGTCAAGGTAAGAAGGTAGAACGTGTTCTGTTTAATAGTTTTCAGCTTTATTTGTACGTTCTAGATGTGTCATCATCTGACTGACGGGCCTCCGTTTGTTCTCTTGCTTGGGCCACACAGAGGTTAAGAGCGGTCGCTGCCTGGAGGGAAGTGGGTGCTGACCTTGGACCCACCTCCCCTGGTGAGTTGTCCTGGGGGATGAAGCCAGAGAGGCCCTCGGGTGTAGCTGGGCAGCCAAGGGACGAGTTCATACCCCTCCACCTGCCTCAGCTCAGCAGGGAGCCCACACTCTCACCAACGTCCAACTATCTTTAACTAGAAGGCACACGTCTGCAGTAACATCTGGCAGTGCAGAGGCACCGTTACGGGGATGCCCCCATGTGCATGACGTATAGTTGGTGCAGTCTTCCAGCTTAGCCTTCCTTTGGCTGAATCACTCGTTAACAAAGGGTGCGCTAGTGCTTCACTATGGGGCGGAGCTCATCCAATCGGCAATGTCTGGTTTCCAGAGGAGAGAAAGGCAAGTTGAGGAACCGGGAGAAGTCTTAAAATGCACGCGGGGTTTTCACGAGCGGTCAGATTCCACCTGCATGCGGTGACCCAGTGGGTGGGAGTTCAGGCTGCGCTCAAGGCTGCTCAGCTGAGGGGCAGTGGACACTGAAAGCCAGCTCCTGCTCTGCCCACCACGCACCCTGATGCCACACTCTGACACCCGAAGGGGGCGCCTTCCTCTCGTGCTCACAGAGGAGCTCTGTGGGCCAGCTGGGCCTCCCTGCGGAACTCCAGAGGACAGAGCGAGGCGCAAACGGTGAAAGTGATTTGTGGTTAGTGTAAAGAAAAGGTAGTTTATAAACCTGATCTCGTTCATCCTTGCAACAATCCTGAAAGTAGGTCCAATTATTGCCCTCACTTTACAGAAATGAAAACTGAGGTTGAGAAGTTAAGCAACTTGCCCAGCACTTGAAAACAGCAAATGCAGGATGCAAAGCCAGGATTTTCTCATTAAAAAACACGTTTGGGGGGAGGGTATGGCTCAGAGGCAGAGTGCGTGCTTAGCACGCGAGAGGTCCTGGGTCCAATCCTCAGTACCGTCATTAAAATAAATAAATAAAAGCCTAATAATTACCTCCCCACCCTAGTTACCTCCCCTCATTCTGTTCTACACTATGAGATGCTTTCTAGCAATTTGGGCAATTCTGTGATGAAATGTGCTGTTTCTGAAGCTGGCAATTTCCGTAAGGCTTTAAGTGTCTGAGAATACAGTGAATGCCAACTCAACAGATATGTCACAAAGAGGGGTCACTTCCCCGTGAATAGTCAAATCAGGTGATGCCAACACAGCCCAGGTGCTGTCAGGAAAACAGAAGCCACTCTGTGTATTTCAAGTATGAGGGGTTTCAATGCAGAGAACCAGAGGCAGAACCAACCACCGGAAGAGTCAGGGAACCAAGACTGGGGAGCCACCGGAGGTGATCCCAGGCGGCGCACTGACGCCGGTGGTTCAGTAGAGTGCACATTCTGACAGCCTCTGGACAGCCCCTGGCTTCTGTCTCTGTCTGTAGCACCAATTGAGGTGATTCTTTAGAACCTCACATCTACTCATGCTTCAAATTGTAGCAGCATCCTTAGAGTTATGGCCTCTCTTCTTCGGCCTTTCAATTTCCACACGAGTGTCTCTTCTTGGAAGAGAGTCTGCCTCTGAGCAGGACCGTAGGGAAAGGGCTTGTGGGAAGTGCTGTTCCTGCTGGAAGAGCGGTGGCGAAGCAGAGTTCCTAAGCCCCTCCCACCACCACGACGTAGGGTTTCATGCTGTCAGGCTTCCTCTGATTTCATAGGGAGTTAAAAGTTAGAAGAGCAGGAAGTTATCAGGCCCCCGCAGGACCCCTCGTCGCTGTGGGCAGACAGCACAGAAAGGGACGGCTGAAGCTGTAGGTAGTTTTCATATGTCATCATTTTGCCTAAGATTAGAACAGCCTCATTCGGGCTGGGCCAAAGAAAACCAGGTAGCTGCAAAAGCAGGCCTGCTTCTCAAACTTTAGAAAAATTAGTGTTCACACAAAAAATTATATTCATAGGAAATATATTATGAATGGCAGACGTTAGGAGGCGACGTTTATATGTGGTGAATCAGAATTGCTGGAAGGAACCTAGACATCACTCGGTCTGATACAGCCCAGACTGTCTCATTTCTCTGAGCGTAGGGGTGGGAGGTGTGGTCAGTAGCAGCACGCCTTCCACTGGGAGTCCCGGCCAACTATCCACAGGGAGAAATGGTGGCAAACAGGGCAGTGATAATGGATTCACAGAGCTACCTTTTAAGGATTCCGGACCCACCAATATTGCCCAACATGCTGGTTGGCAGTGCCCCTGTTTTACGGCAACAATCAAGGGAGGTTAAGGGACTAAGTGAAATCACAAGCAAGTTAAGGGCAGAGTCAAGACTGGAACTCAGGTGTCCTGATACCCAGGCCGAGATGTCTGGGATAGCATCTTCCACCTCTCCTTCTGTCATATCTGTCATCTACCTACCTATCTTTCTATCTGTCTATCCATCTATCCACCCATCCATCCATCCATCATCTATATGTCTATCTATCCATCTATCCATCCATGTATTATCTATCCATCTATTCATCCATCCACCCATCTATCATCTATGTCTATCCATCTATCTATCCATCCATGTATTATCTATCCATCTATCCATCCATCTATCCATCATCTATCCATCTATTATCTATCCATCCTACCATTCTTCGTTGCATCTACCCCTCTATCTTTCTACATCCATCCAGTTATCTAGCTCTGTAATCGCTCCTTTTGTTCATCCATGTATGTACACAAGGCTCTATGAAGGTACAAGAATGTGTCTATTTCCCTTTCTAGAGTTAATGGAAGAAAGGGAGTAGGAAACAGGGGAGCTATTGATTTTGTTTGTTTTGGCTCCTACCTGAGTAAAGAAAAAGCTTTTATTCCACAACACAGCAGCATAAGAATAACAGGACCTATGAATTTTTCCAATAGGTAATTCCAGGCTGAAGACAACGTATTTGAAAAACAGCCTAGTGTGCCGCAATATTAAAACAGTAGGCTGCTGTGGCTATAATACACCCGTGACTGATAATGAGGTTACAGGCTCTCATCTCCCAGTCTTCCCCCTTCTGCGCCCAACACTCAATTTTGTTGCTGGGGAGCACCCACTGCTGAAGTGAGGGGAGGGCTTTGGTTGACGTGAGCAAGTCTTTTGCTTACATTTGGTGTGAGAATTTTTGCGGCTTTGTGTAAGTATCAGTCAAGCCGCATAGTCTTCTAACACCTTAGGAGATGAATCCTGGGAATAACTTGCTCAAAGTAAGAAAACCATCTCTCTATTTACATGTCTGAATCTAATCATGGCATTTATGCATGAAGTTTGTTTATTGTATTGAAGATGTTCTCTTCTGCCAAGCCTTAGGGGAACAGTAATCAAATTCATTAATTACTGAACATATGGCTTACGTCTGAAATATCTTGTCTGAGTTTGGGAGCTGAATTTTAAGAGGCACATTGACAAACTACATGTTGGTCAGGGTGACCAACCCCTGGTCACAGGGTGACCAGGATTAATATTAGTGATAAAATATAACTTAAGAAAACAATTTATTGAGTACTATGCTAAGTGTGTCACATGAGTTGTCACTGTTCATCCTCACAGCCACTGACTTCTGTCACCGGGTGACTGAGGTCACATAACAAATCCAGACGCCAGAGCCTGAGCTGTTACCCACTCCCTGTGCAGTGAGGACCCTGGAAGCCACGTCACGTGAGGAACTGTAGTGTCTGTGCCGCCACTGGGAAGAACTGGCACCGCTGGAGACAGCAGATAAGGTGCTCCCACCCTTAGAACTGAGCACTCAAACAGCAGCGGAAGGACCATTGTTTGTACGAGTGGAGGAAAGATTTCAACTCTAATCTATGACATTAGCGACACAGAACAAATAACCAAAGTGTTGTTTTCATTTCTACTTACTATTAGAAAAAAGCCTCTTAAAATTTTAAAAATAATAATTAAAGTCTCTAAATTTCTATGCTTTTTCTTAAAAAGTTGACTCCTGAATGAATGCCGGATGTAGGCCCATTTTCTCAAACTGCATCCACTGTCTTCTCAAATGGTACTTGGTCTTTGGAACTATGTGACCCTTCGGTCTGGGAACTAAGTCCTACCTCACAATGTTGTTCCAAGGATGGACTATGTTAATGCTTGTGGAAAAGCTTTGCAGTGGCTGCATACCACACAAATACGAGGGGTTGGTGAACAGAAAGAAAATGTATTTTAAGTCCTCTTGATACTTTCGTCTGTATAATGATACAGATCAGCCCTGAAAGCTCTTGAATCAGTCAGTCGTCTGTCTGGTAAATATAGTTGTATAAATGTAACCAAAGCATATGTATTTTCATTGGCTCAACCAGTGTTACCTAGTAGTGACTGGCACTTGTGTGTCAGTTACACATGAGATCTACAGAAATGATTAATATATGGCTCTACCCTCTAGAAGTGGCATAAAAATGAAGAAGTTAGAATTTAGGGAGGAGGGCACAGCTCAGTGGTAGAGTGTGTGCTTAGCAAGCACGAGGTCGTGGGTGGGTTCAATCCCCAGTGCCTACATGAAATAAATCAATAAACAAAT